CCCGCGCTGCTGGTGCTGTGCGCGCTGCTCGGCCCGCTGCAGGTAAGGAGCCGCGTCCCGACGCCCGCTCGCGAGCTCCGGGAAGGGCGCGGGCGAGGGGGCCGCGACACGTCCTAGGACCCGGGGCCTCCGAGGCTTGGGGGAGCGGAGACGGAGTTAGACGGCGACGGGAGGGGACGGGCGGGACCCCAACACCCGGACGCGGGCGCTTCCAGAAGCTGCACCTCGTCGCAGGCTGTGATGTTATCGTTTACTCACTGCCTGCGCCCAGTAGTTGCTGCGGGGAGACAGCGGTGTAGACGGCCCCTCTCCCCCGCGAACAGGGACACGAGGGACAGACATTCAGAGTCGCGACGACGACGCCCACGTTAGACAGCCGCTCCTGGAGACGACTTCTCTCCGCTCCTTTCACACCAGCTTGAGTCGCTCGGGAGCATTCGCTGTAACTTGGGCTTCACGCCCTCTCCCAGCCTCAGTTTCCTCCGTCCTCTGAAGAACAGAGCAGTGTTCGCCTCAGGGGATGTCCTCAGCGTACGACGAGATAAAGCCACTTCAGAAAAGCTGACGAGATTTCGTCTGCCCGCCTCCCTGTTCGCCCCTCGCGCCGCTCGCCGCTCCCCACAGAGTGTAAGGTCCGCCAGTTCACGTTCTGGCCCTGAACAGGCATAGAGTCACTTGTTCAAATTCCCTTGACCATGTTAGGAAGAAATAGTTTTTGCAATTGGAGAATCCAGGGTACATGATGTGCTTCAGGTCGGTAGCGGAGCCAGAAGCAGAACCCTGCTCTCCGGGTCCTCAGCTTGCCCTGGAGACTGGACTGCGCGGGGACGCACAGCGGGGGCGGGGGCTCATGTCACTGCGGCCAAGGCCCTCTGGGGCTCCCGAGCCAGGGCTGCACCTGGGACGCCCCCAGGCTCATCTGCAGCTCCGTGGAGGAGGCAAGTCAGTTCTGGAGGACTCACAAACCCTTCCCCCCCCACCCACCCACAGCCACATTTCCACCCAGAAAGAGACCTGATTTCTCTGATCCCTGAACTGAGGGGTGGCCTGGGGTCCAGAACCCCTTCTGGAGCCATCCCTCCCCTCACACTTAGCTGCACCACAGGGCTGATAAAAGCCCTCAGCACGACTTCTAGGGACGCTGGACATGGAGAGGCTTCTCAGACCCTTGTTGCTGCCCAGTCTTTGCAGAAGAGATGTCTTTACCAGGTCACTCAGTACAGTCATCCATAATAAAGCCAGGCACTGATTTTCTGTCGCCCCGGGAGGAGAGCTATATAGTGCAGCAAATCCAGCACCACAAATGCTATACAAATCATTTCTCCTGGAAAGTTCCTCAGAGTGAGGGGTGAGTGTTGGTGGTTTTCTTGCTTTCAGCGGTTTCAGGTTTCCCTTCTCTGTTAAAACTGGCTTAGGCTGCTAACATCGCTGGATAGCACCAAGCCCGGTGAAGACATAGGTGCGCTTGGAGAGCTAACTGTGATTGGGGTGAGAAGAGAAGGGAAAGCCAGTTTAGGTTAAAGCCTTGACAAAAATACTGGGAATGTGCTGTAGGCCGAAGTAGAAAATTGTAACGAAGATTCATTCTATTTTGTTCCCTACTGTATGGGTCTCTTTAGAATAGTTAAGGGAAAAGAAGGCAGAAAAACCTAATAGAATTTTTCATTTTAAGCGCTTCAGGTCTTGCTTAACTAGTGTTCAACAGGTTGAACAGGGTGCTGCCTTATTTGAAGTAAAGGACCGTGGCTTTGGCAAAACAGCTAACCATCTAAGAAAAACCTGCCTGACCACCTGGTTAAAAAAGTATCTTAAGTTACTATTGCAAAAATACATACATACATATGTGCATAAAATGCATTGGGTTCTAATATTAACAAATGCTACTGACACACGTTTATTTTTCAGAGAGACCCTTTAACAAATGCTGTTTCCCCTCCGTTTCCCTTTAAGCCATTTTAATTAAGTGCATGTTGAAATTATATCTAAACTGCATGGGTCAATTCCAATCAAATGATACTCGATGCTCTCCTGCTTACCTTAGTTTGTGCCCAGCCTCCCCAATGGAAATCCATTTTCTCTGAAAGGTGGAGCTAGGTACAGAGTTGCAATATTTTCCCCCAAAGGTACTGTGGTTACAAGTACTCTCTGTGTTCATTTACTGCTTCTTTGGCTAACCTGTTCTGTGCAAAAATTTAGGAATTGTATTGGCAATTTATTGATGTCAGTGATCACACACTGGGCTAGGCTTGAGGAATTGCTTAGCCGGGGAATTGGTTTTGCAAAACAAGTTGGCAAAAATAGCTTCTAGATGTGCTTTCTCTGCAAGTATTGTAGTTAGTTTCATTTACATTACATTAAATAGATTCAGACTTACTTGGAAGGCTACATTTTTGCCTTTTAAAACATTTCTGTGATTATATGTCTGCCTGTATTTGTGAGGGAATCTGTTTCCAGACATAAGAAGAGTATTTGCCTACAGATAAAAATATTTTAAGTTGTTATGTTGTAGTCCTGCTGTTTTTTCTGAGTAAGGAAATACAGCACACTGTTTCCATTAAGGTAATTGATTATACACAGCCATGTTAATCCCGGTTTATCTGAGACCTAAGGGCAGGACTACAAACATTTACAGTGTATAAAACATTGTGCTAGTGGGAAACAAGACAAAGACATAGTTGTATCTTCCTAGGTCACAGCCTAGTGCAGAGGACATGATGGTGACACTGTAATAAAGCAGCATGTGATTGATAAGGAAAGTGCAGGGGGTGGTGGAGGAGAGGAGGGAGGGAGTTATAGCTGAAGGAATCAGGTAGGACTTTTGCTTTTTGTGTTTTGTTTGGTTTTGTTATTTATTTTTTTGAATTGATATATAATTAATTATACAGGATACAGAGATGACTATCAGTATTTGTGCACGTATGTGATGGTCAAATCAATATTATTAGCACGTTCATCATTATGAATCGTAATTATTCTTTGTGTCCCTTACCCAGTTACTCCCTAACTCCCCTCCCCATCCTTTCTAGACTATAGGTCTGCTCTCTCCTTCTGAAAGTTCAATGCTTTATTGTGGACTTTCTTAGCTCCCACTTATGAGTGAGGACATGCGGTATTTCCCTCTGTGCCTGGCTTATTTCACTTAAGGTAATTTTCTCCAAGCTTGTCCATGTTGCTGCGAATGGCAGAATTAAATTCTTTTTATGGCACAGTGGTATTCCATTGAGTATACATACCACATTTTCCTTATTCAGTCATCTGTCAATGGACATTTAGGTCGTTTCCAATTCTTGGCTATTGTAAATAGAGCTGCGATGAATGTGGGAGCACAGGTATCCCTTTGACATGATGATTTCCATTCCTTTGGGTGTATACCCAGAAGTGGGATTGCTGGATCACATGGCAGTTCTACCTGTAGTTGTTTGAGAAACCTCCACACTGTGCTCCATCATGGCTGCACTAGTTTACAGTCCCACCAACAGTGTAGGAGGGTTCCCTTTTCTCCACATCCTCGCCAGCATTTATTCTCAGTCTTTTTGATAATAGCCAGTCTGGGGGTGAGATGATATCTCAGTGTGGTTTTGATTTGCATTTCGGGGAGGACTTTTGGAGGAGGAGGTTTCTCAAGCTGTCTTTGAAGCATGGGTAGGAAATCAATGGTCAGAGAAGAAATGACTCCAAGTAGGTGAGGAAGAAATCTTTCTAGGCCGAGAGGATGGTGTGAGTGGTTTAGGCCTATAGGAATCTTGCCAGAAAAACAAAACAAACAAAAAAAACCCATATTTTTATGACTTTACAGATAGCACAAAGCACTTAATTTGGGAAACCCCACCAAACAGATGGGACATTAAACTTTTATAGTTTTGAGATAACTCTGGTATGGTTCTTATTGAGGTGGCAAGGTAGACTAATCAGAATCAGGCCACAAGACCCTGGAAAGGCCTGTGGGGAGACCCCTCAGAGGAAATCCCCTAGGGTGGGGCTCAGGGCTGTAGGGTAGGTGGGTGGTCTGTCCATCTTTCTTCCTGCCAACCCCATCCTAGAGGGCAGACTTATATATATATTAATACTTTGTTTGGAGAACCCAGACACAGATTGCTGGACTTGTAGTTCATTCTCTTGATAAATATTTCAAATGCCTCCCCTGTTATTTCCTTTCCACCACTTCCCACCAGAATGGCAAGTCTGTAATATGAACACATTCTCTGTGTTGATAAGGAAATACGAGCTTGCTTTTTCAGTCATCTGCCAGAAATTCTTACACCAGGAAAACTGAAACAATAAAGATGTGTCTTTGAAGGTCAATAAATCAGTGTTTTATGCAGCCATGAAAAGGGGAGTTCCAAATCAGGGCCTCCTTTGCAGAGAGTGTTGTTTTAAGAAGGTGTAGTGTGAACTTTATCTGCCATAGCAGTATTAAAATTTCCCCACTTGTATTTTCCTATTTTTGAAATACATGAAAAAAAAGTGTTTTTCCCACATGGTGTGTCTGATGGACTCTAGTAATGTCATCTAGGCTGGCTTTTTTTTTGGCTGATGTAAGTCTGTATCCCATCCTGATGGTCCTCAGGTGTCCAGGTGGTTCAATCTTGTAGGGTATCTACCCACTGACCAGGTGGACTCCTTGGGGGAGCCTGTGGCCTGTCTG